TGCCCAGAGACAGGTATTGCTATTTAGGGCTTTAGTAGGCTGAAAGGTACCAGGCTTCGGATTGCAGGATTTCGAGTTTGGAGTCTAGGGCTCAGCTGCAGAGATCTGTTTGTGAGGAGCTTGGGTCAGGCTGAACTTCCCTTTAAGTCGGACACATCGTGGTTCAGACCGGGACCCCAAGACTCCCAAAGCCCCAGGATCAAAATCCTGGCTATTCTGAAGCACTCTGAAGCTCCCGTGTGTGCGTACGTGCACATGCATAAGTATGCGCGTATCTACATATGTGCATCTGCAGCTACACATGTATGTATACCTAGTAAAAGATGGAGCAAAAAGAGACAGAGAAAAAAAAGAGAGAGAGTGAGCTTTTGTGCCTTCGGCCGGGGGGTCGGCTGCTGCCCGCAGCTCCTCTGCCCTGGCTTTCTCTTGCTCTGCCTCCGCGAAAGGTGGTCACCCCTGGCGTCTTAGCATTAGCTGGTAAATTGCAGGATTGTGAAGAAATGATATTGTAGGTTACCAATACCAACAGACATGTGTGTCTGCTTGGTCGTATCTGCATCTGCATGACATAACCGACCATGCACAGTGACGGCCAGAAGGAAGAGTACTTGCTTCTGTGTAGCAGTGTAACAAAACTTCGTGCTTGCGCGAGGCCTCTGCGCACCACATTTACTTACATCCATGCAGACATACAGATGCATGTGCGCGCCGTACTGCTTCTGCTGCTGCTGCTGGTGCTGGTGCTGGTGCTGCTGTCATAAGCGAACACATACGAGTATGTAACAAATCTATGCGAAAACACATGGCCTATGGGCATACATATAATTTACTTGTACGTAGACATTGACACGTGACTGGATAGATTACCTCAACCGGCCTTCATGAACAGTCTCCGCTCCCTGGCGGTTACCTGCAAGACAGACCACTTGCGGATTGGAGGCCTTTTGAGTCTTTGGCTTCGAGCCTGAGACCTTGCCTCTTCTCCGGTTTTTTGGGATAGGGGCTACGGCTACGGTTTGGCGCCGAGACTGCTTCAGGGCTTGGGGCTTCAAGTTTGTAGCCACATAGCCAACTGTTGAAAACTGTGGGCACGCTCACACCACTCTAAGAGATGGGCTGAGTCCTGGAACACCGGACACACACTCACACACAGACGCACTTCAGCCAAGATCTCTTGTTCAAAAGCCTTTGCTAATCATCAAAAGCCATCCTCGCCATACACATCTCCAACATCCTCACCATCCACTTTGATGTTTCTTGACGTTGTCAGGAGCTGCAGAACTGTCTTCTTCTTGTGTTGCAAGAAGCAAGAGCAGGTACGTCTGAAGAGCCCAAGACCCGGAGACTCGGCCTTTCGAAGCTGGATTTCCTCAGGACGGTGGGAGGGGCGTCACTCCGGGTTTAAGGATGTTCGTGGCAGCTAGAGTCTCGAGGCTTGACAGGTGCGAGTTACGGTTTGGAGTTCGCAAGGTCGGCACTTCGTGATGCTTTCACTGCAGCTTCTCAGCAGGGTGTACGGCGGGGCCTCCGTGTATGGATGAAGGATTTCTTCGGGGCTTTCAAAGCCCTGGTGGGTCCGGTTGCTGGAACGAGAAGAGGAGTTTCACGCAAACTCAAATGTTCCCTGGAAACCCAGCAACCAGTCTCGACCGTTTCAACCTCCGAAGCTGAACACTGTGTTCTGTGGGAAGACGGTGAAAGATGAGACACAGGTCCCATCTTGACTAGCTGGACGATCAGTCCTAGTCGAAGACAACACTCACAAGACTCATCGAGTGCACGGCCGGCAAGATTTTGTAGAGGCTGCGTCGATACCTCGGACATCACTTCGCACAACTCAACCGCAAAACCGACGTTCAAAGTCTTGAACCCTGACCTGGTCAACGAAACCCTTCGCCTTTCGCACGGCTCAGGGTTAAGACAGTTAAGGCATGAGCAAACAAAGCATGACGTTTTCAACAACAAAAACAGCCAAACCACTGCACTTGTTCACCAGCGTTGGTGATGGTGGTAGTGGTTATGGTAGGGGCGGGTGGTAGGTGGTAGGTGGCAGTGGCATAGTGGCATAGTGCAAAGTGGCATACCGGTATGGTGGTATGGCACAGCGGTATAGCAGTATTTCGGTGTAGTGGTATGGTGATATAGTGGTATTATATGTATAGTGGTATAGTGGCATAGTGCGAGAGTGGAAGAGTATGGTGGCATCGCAGTATAGTGGTATAGTGGTACAGTGGCAGGTGGTGGTGGTGGTGGTGGTGGTGGTGGTGGTGGTGGTGGTGGTGGTGGTGGTGGTGGTGGTGGTGGTGGTGGTGGTGGTGGTGGTGGTGGTGGTGGTGGTGGGGGGGGTGGTGGTGGTGGTGGTGGTGGTGGTGGTGGTGGTGGTGGTGGTGGTGGTAGTAGTAGCAGCAGCAGCAGTAGTAGTAGTAGTAGTAGTGGTAGTAGTGGTAGTAGTAGTAGTAGCAGTAGTAGTAGCAGTAGTACTAGTAGCAGCAGAAGAAGTGGTAGGGAGCAGTAATAGTAGTAGCGGTAGTCCTTGTTGCAATTATCACGCTGGTTGGCTCAACGATCTTCTGACAATAGCAAAGCACTGCTCGGGAAGACTTCGAGCCCCGGGCCTCCAGGCACCCAGGAGAAGGCCGACGAAGATTGGAATGGTCATGAGCCCTGGAGTCTCTGCCCGTCCCCACTGCTTTCTTTCAACTTAGTGGGACAATGAGCGCTCATGGCTTTCTAGGCAGGTTGAGCTGTCATTCTTTGCGACCATAATCATAGTGACGATAGTCACCCGGAAAATCTCCCCACGGGGTGCTGGGGGGGGATGCTGCAAGTTGGGCTTCATGCGCATTTTCTACCGAGAGCGAGGAGGGGCTCGACGGTTAGGGCGCGCAAACCCCTGGCTTCAGTGCTAGGTTCTCAGGCTAGACCTGTAACGATCTCAACGAATCTTCCACACACGGGCTTCGGAATTCGGTTGGACTTCGTGGAACCGGGTTGGGGTTTTGAGTTTAGGCATCACACGGGAACCTGAAAGCCCTAAAAACCCGACAACGCTGCAGCAAGCTTCGCCTAGGACGGTCAACAGCTCGTTGATTGCTCGTTGCTCTTCCTTGCCTGACAGGATCAAAGGGGCTCTAAGTGGCCTTGATTGAAGAATCTTCCCGGGCTTCTTCATATGAGTCAGGGAAGGTTCCTTAAACTAGTCATGATTTAAAGCAGCTTCCTTGGAAAAAGGATCACGGGATCCCGGAGACAGGTTGAAAGCCCGGCTTGGGGTTTGTCGAGATTAGGGCTCGATTTACGGCCTAGGGTGTAGAGCTTTGGGCTTTTTGAGCTTAGATAGGTTCAGGAGTTTTAGTGCTTGGGGTCTACAGGAACTGGTCATACCCGTTTATTGAACTCGAGATCCACCCATCAAGAATTTTAGGCCGTGCAGGATCCTTAGGTACCTCGGTGGCGAATGAAGCGTCCTGCGGCGGGTCTTGGAAACAGACTGCTTCACTTCGGTTCACAAATATGCCGAGCCAACGGCGGGATGGCTCTTCACAAAGAAGACCCCAAACCCCCAAAACAGAAAACCTCATTCCAGGCAGGCTCCGGGCGCGCCTAAGCCCGGGGGCGCAGGCGCTGGCGCCGGTGTTGTGCGAAAGTTTTGCGCCTGGCATCCGCCACATGCATGGGTAGTAGTTGGGGCCCCAACCCAAAACCCTCCGGGCCCGCAAAGCTGACAGAAAGTGGCGCAGAGGATGCCGAACTCCGGAGGCCAAGCATGCGAACACCAATAGAGGATCTAGACTCCACACCCTACGCCCTTAACGTGAGCTCGGACAGACGGTAATGGTCCTGATGAGATCTCATAAGATGGCGTGGCTGTCGAAGCATCATCATGCTGATGGCAAGAGCGGTAAGAGCGTTTCTGTGTTGGAGGAGCCCGGATGCGAACTGTTTATCATCATCAGAGGCGCCGGACTGCGGTCGACTGCTTGGGGAACTCCTATCAGCATGCCTAGAGCCCAGACCTAGCGTTTCTTTTCAACAAAGAACACGCCAAAGAACGCCACTGACGATGACAGCATGCTCGGGGCCTTTTGCAAGCATCTTTTCCGAGGTGCAACTTTCAGACTTCGAAGTTTTCGCGGACTTGGAGATGAGGACGGATTTGAGTCTTGAAGTCTAGTACAGACATCATGAATGTGGAGGCCTTGCCAGACGCAGCTTCCGACGCGAAGCACAGCAGGAACAGGTAAAGTGCCGCGGATGCCTCGGATCTCGCGACAGTAGCCTGCTCGAAGTTATAGTTTTGATGCCTCTGGCCGTGAAGCCGCACACGGACACTGTTGATGTAGGGATTGTTGTGAGATGGAACTGACACAAACTAGAAGCGTTGAACGCTCTGCCGGAACTATTCGCCCCAACACCCAAATCATCTTCCAATTGAAAGGTGCACATCAACATTGAAGAACAAACCCCCAACACAGATCCAAGAATGTTCGAACACGCAGCCTGTGCCGGCACAGTCTTGGCCAAGTTGGCGTCCATGTCGCAGCAACTACGAAACAACACTTATGCGGGCCTCGTCTCAACTGCAGAACAACACCCAAGCGGGCATATGTCACGGCAAAATGCTCAATGTCAAACTATGCAATAAAGAACGAACACAATGCAATATGCACATGTGAGTGTCGATCACGTTTGATTAGTTTTGGAATCCACGGCATCATGGACTCTTGCATGCTGCAGAATGAAAGCAGTTGTTGCCACGGGCCAGCCGGCTGCCCTCTACGAGCCTAAAGTGCTGTCAGATGACAAAAAGGTGAAGCAAACGGCTCGGGAAGGTCTTGATTCAGGCAAGCTCTCAAAAGAGCCCAGGCTCACAGCGAGCAGTTTCGCAAATTTTGCTGCCACCGCACTGAGAAGTGGACTACATGTCCACGATTGCAGCTTGCGGGAAGTTGCATGCTACGGCATAGCTTCAACCGAGACTAGCACGCGCTTCAGAACGCTTAGCGCGCTCCTTCCTTCAGCTCGAACTCCACATAATTGCCGTTGCTGCTGTTGTAATGGAAGGCCCTGACGTTCACGTTGTGCTCTTGCACTTCCTGGTGGATCAAACCGTAGCTTAGGACTCCGACCATCGCAGGACAGAACCCTGCACACCCACGCCGGAATCAAAAGCTGACGCCCTCTCAGTGACTGCTAGAACTGCAATGGCCACTCAACCACATTCCCAAATTTTGCAAGAACTGTCCTTCCGCAGCTGGAGTGCAGATTCACGACTTCTCTGAATCTGCTCAGGGTAAGTGTTCGCAAAGTGTCCACCTGGTCACACAGAACTGGTAGGCCCAGTAACCTTTTAAATCCGATCCCAACCGACCAGATGGACGCGCCCCGCCTCTTTGAACCCGAGTGGCAACCAACTGCGCAGCCGCCTCGGCCCTCTCCTGGTCCGTATTTCCTGGCAGGGAAAACGCCGTAGAGAATGCAGGCACCAAATCCTATCGGATCCAACATATGTCAACGATGCACTACAAACTTGCCAAAGACCTCCCGAAGCAGATACGAGAGGCCGGTCTTGTCAAATTCATTCAAAGCCAAGAGAAGAACCATTCTAAAATGGTAATCGCAGCACATACTTACCTGGCTCACTGTGCTGGTGCAGCGTAGCCCCGAACAATCCCAAACATATGTTGTCTGCAATCTCTGCTTTCTGGCAGCATCCAAGGTTCCAGGAGGCTCCAGGTAAGAAGATCTGACCTCGGCTACTTCTGAGTGTCCCAACCCAACACGCACTGGCTCATGTCTGATTCAGTGTCTGATTCCATAGGCAGGTAGCAGTTGTGGCCGGCTTTTAAGAAATGCTGCGGCACGTTCACGGGCAGTGTGATGGAGTCGGTGATGTAGTTCACTGAGACGTTCATCACCACATCCTGGATCTTCAAACGGAGCTGATTTGCCAAGTCCACCAGCTGCTGGTCTTGGTGGTTGTTGTTCGAGACGGCCGCGTAGATGTCGTATCCACCAATCATGTCAGATCAGCTCGTCTGCATCGAACCGGAAAGCAGATTTCACAAAACCTGGACGCCCCAACTTCAAATCCAGGCCACGATTGATGAAGTCTGTCTTCCTGCTTCCGACAGCCCCCAGCACGAATACGGCAATGGGTTTCACTTGTGGCTCGATTTTGGTCAACGCAGCGATCGACTCGGACTCTCTCTGGAAAACCTCCGTGGGGCAGTCATGACAACTTGCTGCCCTGGCACCACGCATCACCAACTTGCAGGATGGGATTCCACACAATGATACATGAAGAGAGCTGGAAAGCAAACCGAAATTGCAGACTGCGCAGAGCAAACTCATGTGGGAGCCTCCCGAATGTCTTGGACCTTGTCTTGACCTTGTTTTGACAGATTTGACGGGCTCATGTTCGAAGAACCCTTGATCATCTTTTGGGAGTTGAGAATTCAAAAAAGGAGAAAGCAGGCTCAAAAATGGGCCCGGAATTCGAACCTGTTTTTAGTGTGAGTATAGGCATATTTCCCGAGGGCTCAGAAAACGGTCGCACTTGGGGGCCTGCATTTTGGTGCTGGCGAGCCACTTTCGAGCTCAGTTTGGAATCGCACAATCTGGATGCGGAGCGACCATTCAAATGATTTCAGTTAATGCTTGTCTTGAACATTTTTTCGTTTCGAACAATCAAAATGGACGCCTCCCAAGAAAACATACAACAGAAATCCTCAATACCCCAACTCATCGTGACTCGCCGCAAGGTTTGACCCTTTGCTTCTGGGGCTATCCACGACTTCAACATGAGCAGTTACGGCTCAAACTCAAAACCCAAACCTTTGATGTCAGTATGGGTGTACAGCACCGCAGCATGAGTGCCCGGTCAGAAAATCCTCCCGGCCCAGAAGGAACGGACATCCCACCAGTGGGTGAATGGCACAAAGCTTCGTTGGTCCGAAAGCTCAGGCACCAGTCTAGCTACAAGCCATGGCTGTCGCCACCGAAGTCGGAACTCTGCCCAGGTTAACACACTACTGCACACAGCACGTCAGCAAATACCCCACGATTGCTGCACAGGATCCGCTGCGAAAGAGTCGCAGCTGCAAGCTTCGTCCAGAGCACTTTTGCTGCAGTCCTAGGTGATGTCCACGTAGCCATAAATCCACACAAGCCATGACTTGGCAATGAGCAACTCTTTCTCGTTAGGGTATGCAGGGTCTTTGCTCGCGAGCGCCCAATGTCAGGGTCAAGTGCCCCCCCGAGCTGCTCCAGACACAGTCGTTCTGCAGTTCATCAAACAGTCAAGACTTTGCAGTTGCTGCAGTTCAGTCATGGCATCATACACTGGCCCTGCAGTTACAAAGAAAATTTTCCTGTAGATTCAGATCTCCGTGTTGGTGCCATGCGGCTCTTGCTGGTGCTTTGGTTGGTGATGCAATTTTCCGCTGCTGTGCGAGCAGCCCTGAAGCAGAAGAAACCCCAAGAGTTACAAGTTACAGCCATGTGCAATGACCCTGTGAGAAATGATTTCCTGAAAAGCTTGAAGCGACCACCTGCTGCAGCTGATCCTGCTCGGAACAGCATAGTTAGTTTTGGCTTTGCTTGCCCTTCGCAATGCAGTCGGCGGAGCGTGTCTTGGATGGGCATTAAATCTGTGGCCGCAGCAGTGAGTCAGTTTATGAGGAGCCATTCTGCCCGGCCAGAAACTTCCGTGGGCATGGAGTTCAACGTGAAACCACAAGCAGGAAGCCGAGGCCAAACTACAATAACGCCCGTCGGCGGGCATTGGTTCTGAAAAAGCCGAAGACCACAGCAAATCGTGCTGCTGGATCTTGGAGCTGGACTTATCAGCACTGTTTGCAAAAAACAAAAGCACGTGGGTTGCTATTATTTTGAACCTCTTGCAGAGCCGCCGAGACGTTTTGATTTGCGTCAAACGACAGGGGAGGCCCGCTCAAGCGAAGCCAGAGCTGGACTTTTCCAGCCCCACATTTGGAGTCGCGAAGCTTGCGATTTCACCAACAGTGCAAAGCCTCTCGTCATTTGTGGGGTTTCGAGACAGAAACTGAAGCCTTCCAAAGCCTTCCTTGTGGGTTCGGAGCTTACAATCTTACCGTAGTCTCTGCACTCTTCTGGTCTGTAGTTCCTGCAGCTTGCAGCTGTCCCTGTTATCTTGTGCTTCACGTTGGTAGATTTCTCGGCTTGCGCGTGTCATCCTTGTGCAGGGGCCATGCTAATCTTCTCTATCTCGTTTCTCCACCTTCGGAAAGCACACGGCAAACGAGAGTGCCTCAACTGCTGAAGCAGTGCGAGCTTCCATGCACAAAAACCGTGCATGGGTCCCGCCTCGCCGTTCATTTAAACTTTTAAAACCTAAACGGGGTGTGGGACCCGGCCCTAGAAAAATGGGACCCGGGTGGACCCAGGTGGGACCCGGATGGGACCCGGTGGGACCCGGTGGGACCCGGTGGGACCCGGATTCGATCTGGCTAGCAAAGTATGGGACATGTGACAACCAGATGAAACTTCTTGTGTGGGAAACATGGGACCCGGTGACACCCGGATAAGACCCGGCGAGCAAAAAAACGGGATTCGGTGACGCAGAAGGTGGGACTTGGATGGGCCCGGTGGGACCCGGTTGGGACTCCTCGCAAAAAGCGGGACCTTGTGACCGCTCAGATGATGTGGCCTCAAAACCACACGTTGATGTGGCTTGAGAACCACACGTTAAGTGGCCTTGATGTGGCTTCAAAACCACACGTTTGTGGCTTATGTGGCTTCAAAGCCACACGTTTGTGGCCCGGATGTATTAAAGGGGTCACCAGAAGCCTCGGACCTGAACGAGCACGTGGGCTGCCTTTCTTCTTTCTTTACTACAGAGAATTCTAAGCCGGAGCTGGCTCCAAGTCCACTTGCTGGAGTTAGAAAAGGCTTCAACAAGCTTCGATGATCTTGCAAGCTATTGGCTATTGCTGACTCCATAGAGCCATAGATCTTGGCAATCCTAGACAGGAGCTTCGATGATCGTGTCGCAGCGATGCATCCTAATAAACGTCAAAGATCTCGATTGGCTTAAAAAGATCCTCGAGATACCTCGATGACATCAAACACACTGATGTGATATAGAAGCAGGATGAGCCCAAGAAATGATGCTGCGGACGACCCCGTTTCTGGGCCCACGAAACGAAAGCAATTCTGGCTTCGCCACAATGGGCCTCCCCAGTTGCAAATCCGCTGGTTGTGGCATTTAAGGTGAGCGTGCAGCTGCTTTGGACAAGACTTCTGGCTTTTCAATCTTGCGTCTGCATGATGCCCAAAACTGCGGGAACAAAGGCAGGCAGGCGCACGCCCGAGATCCAGCTGGTTGGCCCCGAACATTTGCGATTTGCGACCCCAAAAATGGGGCCGTTTCGCGGCCCCGAAAACAGGGCTGCGACATGCGCCCGGCCTCATTAAATATATAGTTTGAGCATGAGTTGGAGGCTTGGAACCCCGACCCCAAAAATGGGGCCGCCAAACGGCCCCATTTTGGGGGGCCGCGAATTCTTCTACTTTGAGGCACGTCCGCCTGACTGCTACACAACAGGCGACTGTGGCACACAGGCGCGCGTCCAGCTTGGAAAAAAACAAGCTTTCAGGATTAAGGCTTCCAAGCCGAGCCTTGCTTTCTTATAGAAGTACATTAAATCAACATGAAAGAAACGGGCACAGGGGAGGCCCGCTCAAGCGAAGCCAGAATTGCTGGACTTTTCCAGCCCTACATTTGGAGTCGCGAAGCTTGCGATTTCACCAACAGTGCAAAGCCTCTTGAACCGTCATTTGTGGGGTTTCGAGACAGAAACTGAAGCCTTCCAAAGCCTTCCTTGTGGGTTCGGAGCTTACAATCTTACCGTAGTCTCTGCACTCTTCTGGTCTGTAGTTCCTGCAGCTTGCAGCTGTCCCTGTTATCTTGTGCTTCACGTTGGTAGATTTCTCGGCTTGCGCGTGTCATCCTTGCGCAGGGGCCATGCTAATCTTCTCTATCTCGTTTCTCCACCTTCGGAAAGCACACGGCAAACGAGAGTGCCTCAACTGCTGAAGCAGTGCGAGCTTCGCGAGAGCATGCTTTGATTCATGCATGCTTTCACTGAAGAAGTGTTGACACCGTTTGGGACATGACCTGGACTACAATGCTAAAGGCAGCTCCATGCACAAAAACCGTGCATGGGTCCCGCCTCGCCGTTCATTTAAACTTTTAAAACCTAAACGGGGTGTGGGACCCGGCCCTAGAAAAATGGGACCCGGGTGGACCCAGGTGGGACCCGGATGGGACCCGGTGGGACCCGGTGGGACCCGGATTCGATCTGGCTAGCAAAGTATGGGACACGTGACAACCAGATGAAACTTCTTGTGTGGGAAACATGGGACCCGGTGACACCCGGATAAGACCCGGCGAGCAAAAAAACGGGATTCGGTGACGCAGAAGGTGGGACTTGGATGGGCCCGGTGGGACCCGGTTGGGACTCCTCGCAAAAAGCGGGACCTTGTGACCGCTCAGATGATGTGGCCTCAAAACCACACGTTGATGTGGCTTGAGAACCACACGTTAAGTGGCCTTGATGTGGCTTCAAAACCACACGTTTGTGGCTTATGTGGCTTCAAAGCCACACGTTTGTGGCCCGGATGTATTAAAGGGGTCACCAGAAGCCTCGGACCTGAACGAGCACGTGGGCTGCCTTTCTTCTTTCTTTACTACAGAGAATTCTAAGCCGGAGCTGGCTCCAAGTCCACTTGCTGGAGTTAGAAAAGGCTTCAACAAGCTTCGATGATCTTGCAAGCTATTGGCTATTGCTGACTCCATAGAGCCATAGATCTTGGCAATCCTAGACAGGAGCTTCGATGATCGTGTCGCAGCGATGCATCCTAATAAACGTCAAAGATCTCGATTGGCTTAAAAAGATCCTCGAGATACCTCGATGACATTGCAAACTGACACTGATCTCCAGTGGATATAGAAGCAGGATGAGCCCAAGAAATGATGCTG